AATTAAAAAAACTAACTGTATATTAAAATTAAAATACAGCGAGTGTAAGAAATAAACACTTCGGTCGCTATCTCAATTTCTATCATACAATATCGCTTTCTTTATACGATAATCTTTTACAACCGGTTGAAACCAGCTCGAATAAAAGCTCGACGACGCGACGCGCGACGGCGACGTTCGTAATGTATCAAAGCTGAATAAAATCTGTCCAGAGTGAGATCTGCCCTGACGCCGGCGGCCGTCATGACGATATAATTGGATTGCACTAGTCAGTTTCATACGTGATAACGCTGGAAGACGCGCGGGGAACATAATCGAATGAGGTGCACCGGATATGCATTGACGGCGAGGTCGAGGTCGAGAAGGGAAAATGTCGTGGACGTGGAAAAATTGTAAAACCAATCAGCACATCCACATGATGTAGACTCGTGGGAAGCGATGCAAGTTGATTGTAAAAGATTTTTCACGACTCCTTGAGAGCGAAGAGAAGGTCTCTTCGTCAATAATGTACGGCATTTGGGAAGAACTTTAAAAACGTAGGGAAACGTGGAGAAAAGGGGAAAAGGAAAGACAGAAGAATTTTACGAGTATTATATGAATCAATGTTCGCGTATCCTCCGCGTATCCTAAGATTCTCTTAACGAAGGATTGTCAAGCAGCGAATGGTTCGCAGATTTGCATTCGAAAAGTTCGCTCGGCACTCTGCGGCCTATTCGTTCGTCCTACTCGAAATTTATGAAGCGCGATAATTGAAATGCCATGTCTTTTATTTATTCAACGGCGCGCAGTGAATTGCTATATTGTCACGTTCCTGCCGCAGATGCTTTAATCGCCACTGGATTATTTTTATTAAATTTATATATTATCCTTATTTTTCTCATGTTTTGTTCTCCCTTGGGAAATACGTACATACATGAATTGAAACGTCAACTCCTCGTTTGTTTTGTTAGCTGTTGAATACAACCGATATGTAGCTGTCTCTTGATTCACGTTGCAGATTTTTTTTGTTTAGGACGGATCTGGATGTTGTAGTACGAAAAAGCACAGAGTAACAGAATTTGAAAAAAACATCTGCGACTTCCTATTTTGTATGTTTAGTTAAATGATTTTTCAGAGATTTTTCACTGTACGAATATATGTAGAAATAAATATACCGCGTAATTCTAGAAATAACTTACATTCTTGTACAATATATAAAAAAAATATAACCTCAAATTATTTCTATTTAAATTATTTCTCATTTCAAACCCAAAATAAGACTTTGAATAATTATTGTATAACAAAGAAAAATTTGACGCCATTTCCTTTTCCTAAAACAATCGATTTTTTTTCAAATAAATTATCAGAGTGGCGTCCAAAGATCGTGATTGGCTGCAGATAATTCTTAATTAAATATATTTACTTAAATATCAACAGATATGTCCTCCTTATCTCTCCTTTTTTGATTACGATTTTTAACCACTGGAGTAATGTGCCGCAGAAAGGCTGTAAATAGGTTATCAGGTGACATTAGTCGGAGCTGCGTAGCGTTGTACGATCAATCGGCTTTGAGGCATGCAACCACGGTGATTATTAATCCCAGCAAAGAGGGGTTTTACTGACGCAACGGGATTAAAACTCGATTCACCCGCACGTATGCAAGTATCCTCTCGATGGTAAAGGATTGCATTATGGACATTCATATGCGTCCTTTAAAATAAATATGCCAGAGGAAGAGACGTCAAACGAAATTAAATTTCTAACAGTTAGCGATGATAAAAAAAAAAAAAAAAATATTTCAGACTGCGTTTTATTTCGGTAATAACGAAATATTTTTACGCAAATATCCGTGAAAATTGGTATACGTGTACAGTTTATTGGTGACATTTCAAAATCTGATTGATTATTTCCCTTGATGATGCCGAATTGATTCCGAATGCAGTTTCCAGGTCCAGTTTAATTTTGACCATGGAATGATTGTGGCACGATTGCGTAACACGGTCTTTTTTAATCTGTTTTCCATTTTCCAATTTTCGAGAATGCTCGATGTTTTACATGGCGGAATTGTTGCCAGTCTATCACGCCTGCGCCGTATTTGCGGCAAGCTACAATCG